TTTTAAGATTTTATTTATTTATCTTTAGAGGGGAAGGGAAGGAGAGAGGGAGAGAAACATTAATGTATGGTTGCCTTTCATGCATCCCCTGCTGGGAACTGGCCTGCAGGGAACTGGCCTGCAACCCGGGTATGTGCCCTGACTGGGAATCAAACCGCGACTGTCTGGTTCGCAGGCCCGCGCTCAATCCACTGAGCGACACCAGCCAGGGCCCATTTTTACTTTTTGGATGGATCCTTTGCAACACAAAAGTTTTCAATTTTAATGAAGTTCAATTTACTTATTTTGTTGATGTTGTTTTCCCTTATGCTTTTGGAATTGTGTTTAAGAAGACTTTTTGCCTAACTCAAGGTCACGAAGATTTACACCTGTGTTCTCTCCTAGGAGTTAACCAGGGACCTGGCCCCCAACACAGGCATGTGCTGTGACTGGGGATCCAACCAGCAGGCTTTCAGTTTGCAGGATGAAGCCCAACCCACTGAGCCCCACCAGTCAGGGCTCTCCTAGGAGTTTTATGGTTTTTAGTGCTTAAAGTTGGGTTATCATCCATTTTGAATTATTTCTTGAGTTATTAACCCTTTGAATAACAAGATCTGGCAGCGGGCATAGCATCTCCTGTGATTTTGGAGACAAGGGTACTCACTGTCCTGAGGTCCCTCTAACTGTAATGTGATGAGACAGTATCATGACTTCTATGGGGGACGTGGGTAGTGGCAGCTATTGCTAATACCGCCTACATTCACAGTGGGAGAAAATGCTGGATTTCAGTTAAAGGTTCATTTAAATAAAGCTGTAATCACCCTCCCAGGTTCATGGTCCCTTCCCCGACTTGAGGCTAAGAACTCCTGCGGTGGCCAAAATCCCCGCCCCAAGCCGATGTTTCTGAACCATGTTTTGGCGGTTTGAACCTTCCAAGACTGGCCTCAGGGCTGTTCTCCTGGTACCCGCAGCCCGGCCTGCTCCCCTCTGCCTGGCTCCAGCCGCGGGGAAGCTATTCCTTGCCTAGAATACATAGCAGCAGTAAACGTGGCAAGCACCGCATGTACAGTCAGGGCATTGGCGCACACTCCCTCCGTGCCGTCCCAGCTTCCGAGGTCTCCCAGGAGCAGACCTCCGAGTCTCCTGTGGCTGAGACCTGCTGCCTCTTCCACGCGCCCACTGTCTGGTTTAGGCAGATAACTTCTCTAGCAGCCTCAGTTTCCTTAATCCAAGGCTGGCTGAGCCGGCCAGAACGGTTCACCTGGTGGGATTATCAAGTGGATTAAAAGGGTTCCAGCTGAGCCCAGAACCAGGCAGTCACAAGTTGAAGATAGTAGCTATCCTTAAGCTTCCCACCGGAGAGGGGAAGGTGCTATTTCTTTGGCCTGCATAGATTTTTTCTTGTTCTGCACCAGGTCTAATAATTTGCAACATTCTGGATTCTCGGAGTTGTAACAGAAACTCAAATGGCTCAATTTAAAAGGCCAGGAATTCAGGCCTGGCTTATGGGGTGGGTGCATTGGGGAGGGAGAGTACAAAGATCCTATCAGGACTCAACCTTCCTCTCTCCATAAACTGGCAGACGAGGCTGGGCTCCCTGGAGCAGGGCCCAGACTGGGGTGGGCCAGCGAGGCCCGGAGTACAGGTGCTCACGTAGCCTGCCGGAGCCAGAGCACAGGCACCTCCTCCGGTGCCCAGCACCTGGCCCTGCCCTGGAGGATCCAGGTTTCTCTAGTCCTTAGGTCCTAAGAAGCCCTTCCTTGAAAGCTCAAGAAAAAGTTCCTGAAAGGGCCCTGATTGGTCTGGTTAGGTCATGTGCCCATACCTGAGCCAATCGCTGCAGTCAGAGGGCTGGGGCGCTCTGATTGGCCAGGCCTGGGACATGTGCTGGTTGGGATGCGATGGGAAGCCTCAAGCTAACCACCTGGATGAGGTCGTTGAGGAGGGGCCACCTCTGGGGAGATGCTGGGCTGGCAACCCCAACCCCCCATTGTGGGGCACATTTTCTGTTTTGGTTGAACTTCCCTTATTCCAGGAAGCCACCCCGCACTGGGAATGGCTTTTTGCTCTGTGCATTCACAGCAGCCTGAATTTCTCCACAAATACTTATCGTGTACCAGGCACAGAGCAGTGGGTCCAGGAGGAGACCCAACAATCACAGGTTGGAAGGAGGGGGCTAAGGGGGACTGCTTTATGAGGTAGGAGAATGAGGTCCCGAGAAGTGAGGGAATTTCTGGGAGTGGTGGACTCAGGTGAAACCAAGAAATGACCCCTGGATCGGGCAGTGGGGAGGTTGTGGGTGACCTTAGCAAGAACGGAGAGTGGGGACACAGCCCTGCTTGGGCGGGGCAAGGAGGGGCTGGAGAAGACAGGTATAGACCCATCTTTGGCGTTTTCCGTCGGGGGAGTAGAGAAATGGGGAGGAGGCAGAAGGGCATTTAGGAGCAAGGGAGAATTTCCCCTCCCCTCTTTTTGAAAATGCTGACCAAAAGGGGACAGAGGCTGATGGCACAGGAGAGCATAAAGGGGCTGCCAGCCACAGGAGAAGGGTGCCTGGAAGATGACAGGGATCCTATCTGATGGCTTCAGTACTTCACACCGAAAAGGGAGATGAGGCCAGGGGCTGGGAGTGATGGCAGAAAGGGCCATGGGAAATGTAGAGAGGGGAGAGAAGGTGTGACATTTTAGTCCCAGAGAATGTCACCGAAAAACGCGGTAGAGCTGCTGTCTCTGTGGAGTACCAGTTTGAAGTCTGAGACCACCAATTCCCAGTCAGAAGTGTTGTGTGTGGAAGCCCCCACCCCAAGCAATAGCAGGAGCAGGAAGTGGGGCTTTCCGTCAGGTTGGAGGGCTTCCTCTGGTGGAAGGGGCGAGGAGGTGCGATGATGAACTCCAAACACTGCCCAGGCGGGGAAGTACATACTATTACCTGTTTTACCGATGAGGAGGCTGCGAGCTTTCAAGGCCAGAATAGTATCCATGTGGTCTTGGGGTCTGACAAACTAATACAGGGCCTGATCCATGTTAGGTGTTAATAAATATTTGCTAAAAAAATGTGAATAGTTGGAACGCCCAGTGGTGCACCCACGTTCTAATCCAGACAGGAAGCAGCCCCAGCTTTGGAGTAGGTGGGTGGTTCTGATGACTGTGCGCTGTGCCATGCCTGCAGCCCTAATACATGACTCAGTATTACCTTTGTGCTCTTAGAGGCTAATCCTCCCAGTGCCTAGTGGTAGAACTTCACAGGCACCTAGTGAGCAGAGCATCCTGCTCTTAACCTCATTTCTCACCTCCGGATATGTCACAGCCCTGAGCCAGGTGGCCCAGCCCCAGGGGGAATGCCACCTGTGGTACCTAAGCCTTCGCTTTGCTGCCTACATCCTACCCAGGTTGGCTGGCAGGGAGTATGCCAGGGGCACGCACCTGCACCGCCTTGGTCTCTCCAAGGAGAGGTCTCTACCTTTAAGGGGAGTCCAGGACTGTGGACTCTAACCTTATTGGTGGGGGGGCAGGGCTCCTCCATGGGAAGGGAGGGCCCCAGCCCCTTTTCCCAAAGGCCATTTAAGCAGAAATGAACGTGGTCACTTTACTTAAGTTACTAATAATGGTTCGTGCTGCAGAAAACGTGGAAGCAAACACCCTGCTTATTTATTCGGTCTTTAAAACCATAAAACTACAGATTTCTCCCCTGTAGCTATTTATAACCTGAGCTGGTGTAAACTGTCCCCATAATAAGCTCAGGTTTGAAGTAACTTAAAAGAAAAATAGCCATCGCTGCATTAAAAAAAAAATCATTTATAGACCTCTCGCCTGCTAATTATGGACGAACAGCGCATGGTGTGGAGTGGGGGCGGGGCAGATACGGACCTCCAGAGAGGTCACACACTCCCCCGTCCCCCCTCCACCCCCCTTTAGCTATAAAGTTACCCTTAGGCAGGCTGGTGGTCAGGCTCCAGAGCAGGGGTGTTTCAGGCTGGGTCGTGCTCTCTCCCGCCATGCCCGGGGTGCGGTGGGGGAGACAAGACAGGCAGCAGATCCGGAAAACTGGCTCTTGCCTTGGAGGAAGTTGACCCTCCTCCCCTACCGAGGCCTGGGATGAAAATAGCTTCTTCCTCTTTACCCATCCGGGCCCCCAGCCCATTTCTCTTAAGTCCTCCTCCCTATTTCTGCACGTGTTCCCTCCCCCGCCCCCACCCGCCCGGGACAATTCGGTCCCTTCGCTGATCTCTAAATGGCCATCAGGATGACAGGGACCCTCCGGTCCGACCTCGGGAGACACGACGCGCCCCGCAACTCAGGCAATTACGGTCACTTCCAACCTCCCCCCACCCAATTAGCAGAAAGCTTCACCACACCGCCAGCTCCCACACTGCTTCCATTTCCTCCAGGGGAGACTGTCACCTGGGAACCCTGTCCTCTGTACCCGGGCTCTCCGGGCCCCGCTGCACGCCCAAATCCCTTGGGGAAAGTGGGGGCGCAATTAGTTTCTTTCAATTAGTTTCTTCTCTTTGTATAGAACCATTCAAAGGCATGTAATCCTCCGCGCGAGGGGGAAAGTAGTCCCGACCTTGCATTCAATTTCTGTTCTCGTGTCGAGCCTATTTTACTTTTTGAAGCCGATGGGACCCTCGGTGGGGCCCTTCGAAGAATTGGGGGGGGCCGAAGCTGCGGAGGTTGCGCACAGGTGAGGGTGTGGGAGCCGCGGCAGAGGGAGGGGGCGGGGAAGGCAGCTAACTCCTCGCTATTGCCTAGAGAGATGGATCATGGGGCGTAAAGAGATTGCAAAGCTCAAACCACGTACAGCGGGCGATACGCGTCAACCGAACTTGACCAACGGAAGCCCGAGCCCCCTCTCCTCTCTCCCGCCCCGTCCCTCGGATAGACAGGTGCATCGAGCCAACCCGGCTGCCGCTTGCCGTCAAAATCCCACAAGAGCCAATGGGGCCACGTAGGGGCGGGGCCGCTCAAGGGTTGGGCTGCGCGCGGCTTCCCAGGCCCCTCCCCTCCCTCCCGCCCGCTGTTCCCCGTGTAGTTGGTGCCAGTGAAGTGCGGCCGGCGATGAGAGCGAAAGTTGCGCTCCGCTCGGCGCTGGGGGCTTAACGCGGCCCCGCGCTCCGCCCGCCAGGGCCGCCCCCAGCTTCAGCTCGCGCCTGCCGCGCCCGCCAGGCCCCCGCGCCAACCCGCAAACCCCTCCCCCTGTCCCGGCGCCCCCTCCTCAGGAGCCGGGGGTCCCCGTCACTTTTGCACGGCCCCGGCCCCCGCCGATGCCGGCCATGGTGGAGAAGGGCCCCGAGGTGTCAGGGAAGCGCAGAGGAAGGAACAACGCGGCCAGCGCGGCCGCCTCGTCCGCCGCTTCGGCCGCCGCCGCCGCCTCGGCCGCCTCCTCCTCGGCCGCCTCAGTCTCCTCGGCCGCCGCCTCGGCCGGCGCCGCCTCCTCCGCCGCCTCGGCCGCCTCGGCCGCCGCCGCCGCCCCCAGTAATGGGCAGAATAAAAGTTTGGCGGCGGCGGCGCCCAATGGCAACAGCAGCAGCAACTCCTGGGAGGAAGGCAGCTCGGGCTCGTCCAGCGACGAGGAGCACGGTAGGTGGCAGCCGCCCCGCGCCGCCCGCGCCGCGCCCGCGTTCGCGCTCGCTGACCGCTCTGCTCTGCTTCCCCGCAGGTGGCGGCGGCATGCGGGTGGGACCCCAGTACCAGGCGGCGGTGCCCGACTTCGACCCCGGTGAGTAGTGCCCGGCCGGCCGCCCGCCCCCTCGGCTGAGGCCCGAAGGGGCGGGAACCCTTGGACAACTTTCTTTTTGTGTGTTCGCCCTGCCGTCCGCGGGGGGAACAGCAGGCGCGACCAGGAGGGAAGCACACTCGGCGTGGGGTGCTGGCGCCTCTGCCTGCCGGGAGGGCTTGCCGCTCCCCGCGCCCCCGGGATCCGAGGCGGCCCAGGGCGGCCACCTTGGCCTGGAGCCCCGGCAGTGCCGAGTCCGGACCAGCTGCGCCCAGACTAGGGGGAGGGTGGCCGCGCCGGAGAGTTAGCATCCCGCGAGCCCGGACCCGGGGCGGCCTCGGACCCCGTGCTCCACTAGCGAGTGCTGCCCAGGGCCTCTCCTCGGGCCCGGGGGCTCCGAGCGCCCCCACTCCCGTCGCTGCCCGAGGGCGAGAGGTGTCCCGACCTCCCAGATCCTCTCCTGGGGGAGCCGCCTGCCGCAGCTCTCGGACCAGGCTGCAAATGTGAGTGCAGCGTCCCCGTCTCCCCCCCCCGGCCCCGCTTTGAAAGGAAGGGGTTATGGAAGAATGGAACCTGCCGGAGCTTGAGCCTCACCGGGGACCTCCACCCTAAGCGCTCCCTGCACCCCAGTCCGGAGCCTTCACTTCCTCGCTGCTGCTCTGCAGAGAAGCAGATTTAAAGTGGTACCAGAACAACCCAATCAGACAAAGGAATTCTCCAGGTTCTAATGCAGGAGATTCCAGCCTGTTTCCGTTTGAGGCTGTCCTTAAAGGTTGTTGGCATAGAAAATGTTTCAAAGGACATGGTGTTATTTTATTTTTTCAGAAGTGAAATTCAAAAGAGAATCATGTAGAACTGGAGTTAACAGACCTCCCGGTTGGAGGGCTTTCGAGCCGGAGGTTCTCCCTGCTAGTTTCTTTGAGAAATAGATGCATAAATGCTTTTCTTTGGAAACAAGACTGCATAAAACTGCACGGATCTAGTCGTTTAGCGAGGCGATTGGTCTTCAGCTGTTACTAAGGTGCTGAACTCTGGGTGTTCTTTGAGGTGAAAACACTCAGGGATCCCTGAGGGAGCTCTTAGGCTCCCCGGAAAAAATGACCTTTCCCGTGTGTGCCATCTGTTTGGGTCCACGGATTCAGGTCTCTTAGATTTAGGGAGCCTGACAGCGAGGTTTGTATTCCGTTTGAACTCCTGTTAGTGTTTTTGATAGTTTCCCCTTGCCCGGCATCTTCCTTTTTTGGCAGTCACTTCTCATTTCCCCGAGTGACAGGATGGGGCCAGGAGACCAGGCGTTGCTCCTCCGTGCGTGCCTCCTCCATTCCTTGGTTGGCCACCAGGGGAAGCATGCTGTTTTTTGGTTACAGTTGACCCTATCTTCATTTTGTAGGTCAAGTCCATCTTTGTTTAATATACAGGACATAAAGCAAAGCTTGTCACCAAGTTACATCCCCCCATAGTGGTAAAAATCAGCTTGCACAAATGTTTAGTTTTAGTAAGTTGGTCAATTTTTGGTATCTTTTGGTGATAGGTATTAGTTTTGCAAGCTTTCTTCAGATATGTTGGATGTGACTAAGGAAAAGAGCATATTTGATTGCAACCATAGGAATGAATTTCTGACATAACTGTTTTCTAAGTATTGACATGTAGTGCTGCGTTGTTAGTGATGAACCTGACTTCAGAGTTGTTATTTTTTTTTAATTTAATTATTCATTGATTTTAGAGAAAGAGAAGCATTAGTTCGCTGATTTTTTTGTTCCACTTCTTTATATATCATTGGTTGATTCATGTATGTTTCCTGACCAGGGATCAAACCCACAACCCTGGCAGATGGGGATGACCCTGTAACCAAATGAGTTACCCAGCCAGGGCCTAGAGTTGTTCTCTTCTTTGAAATAGCAAATGTAATAGGATCATATTTTGAGCTGTTCTTGAATTTTTTATGGGATTGGTACAAGTGTAAATTTGCCAGAGACCTGCCATTCAAAAAGTAAAACATTGTTAATGTTCTGCTGCATAGTTTTACTGCCAGTTGATTTGGTCTTGGTGTTAACATTTCCAAACCACCTGTGTTGTGTGTGTTTGAACCTTGAAGGGCATCTAACTGCTATGAAATAATTTCAGACCCTGTTTTGCCAGTCTCAGGACACATTCCTAGGTATTGCTGGGAATTGTGGGACTTGTCTCCTAATGATTTTTTTTTTAGGCGTGTTCTCATATACCTTAAAATCTAAGGGAAGAGACAACTTCCATTTTTGGAGTAGAAATGGTCACCGTGTTCTTTTCATGGAACACGGTGACCCTGAGTACAACTTAGGAATAGTATGGATTAAGTTTTACTTGTTACTGTGTTTTCTCTCTCCCTGCCTGAGTTTTTTGTTTTTTTTTTCCTTTCTTCCTGATTGAGTTTTGAATGCACCTCTCTTTCTTTCTCTCTATTGGAATTTGAACAGGTAGGTGAATGTGAAACTCATCAGAAAGCGTTTTTGCCCCTGTGGTAAAGATGTGTGAGGGGAGAAGTTGATTGTAATTTTTAAGTCAGATTTTATTTATTCGCGGCGTCCCAACTTTGACCCTATTTTAGCTTTAAAAGCAAATGGTTGAAACCTGAACCACCTGATATTCCCCAGTAGCCCAAGGAAGATTCCCTTCTGTCTGTCATTCCTCACAACCCATGAGTAGACTGTGATGTAACTTAGTAATTAAAACACCATCTATGTTTACAATGATAGAAAAAGTTCTGTCAATTAGACTGAAAAAAACAAAGACTGGCGTGAAGTTCTACACCTTTAACCTAGACTCTCCTTTCGCGTGATGTCCACCCTCTTTCCTGACTCAGTGCCGCAGCGTGTGCTAAACTGTCATTGGTGTCCCCTAGAACTTAGTAGTCACAGAATGGAAAAAGGGGGGCATGCTCATTCTGTCCTCCTCTGGTTGGTTATTTTCTGCAGTTGCAAAGGGTGATTTGTTTTGAAATGAGTAGTGTTTTCTGTACAAAAATGGGAGTGTTCCCAGTAGGTATGCAAAGGAAGAAGCTGTGTAGCCTATATATTTCTTTGATTGTTTGTTTGGTAGTCTTTTTCTTTGTTGTCTTCTAGCTGGAGGAGCGCAGGGACAGCATTTGGGGGTTGACTCAAGTTCTTTGTTTTCTGAAGCATGTGTTACTGTCACGTTCTGTTCTGCCCTGAGTTGGTTTTCAGTATTGTAGTTCACTGATAGTAAAATTAAGACTCTTACAGAAGAGGAAATGTTAGTGGTAAATATTTTTGTGGTAAGGGGCCTTTAAACATGCAACCCATATTTGAAACATTGATTCCAGTAGGTTTAATCAGATTCGAAAATTGTTGTTGTCATCGGCTCAAATACCACTTCAGAGTTGACTGGTATTAAAAGTGCGTTACATTTTAATGTGGAATAATTTTACTGAACAGGGCATCTTGATCTGCTTTTTATTTTTACTGGTGGTTCTATGTATCCCTTTGAACACATTGTTTTCTGTGCTTTTGGTTCATTGTAAAAATCAGTTTTACACATATCCTAAAATTCAAGTTTTGGTGAATGGTTTGTGATTGAAACACACCCGAGGCGCTGTTCCTGTTAAGTGAGGGGTCAGGGTAAGCGTGTGGAAGGGAGGCCCCCTGGGCGTGTTGTCAGAGGCTGCTCGCCCTCCGTGACTAAGAAGGTGACGGAAGGTGGAGCTGGTCATTTTATCTCCAGGAGCCTCTGTTCCTCAGTTGTGAATCAGGGTCCTTTTGTCACTTGCTGTCTGTGATGTCAGCTGTAGTCGCTTTATCTTATTTCAGAAGTAGTGTGGACTAGACTCCCGGAGCTGGGCTGTGAGAACTGCGAAACCCAAGGTCAGAGCCTGCCAGGGCCTCTTGCCAACTGTTTGTTGACCCTGGGCAAGTGACTTCGTTTTTGCCCTTGTAAAACAGATCGTGGAACTTCCTCAAGAGAAGGGACTAACAGACCTAATACCCCTAAAATGCCTAGCACAGTGCTCAGCATGCAGTGAGTGCTACAGAAACCTTTTCTGCTGCCCTAGTCGTGCCTGCGACTTCAGTTGCCAGGTAGTGGTCCCCGCACTGCCTGCCTGACTGCGTAGGCAAGACTGGATTATAATGAAGCCGTTGATTTGAACGCAGATCGGACACTGAGATATTTGAAGGTGATTGCTTCTAAGTTACCTGTACCTGCTGCAATTTTGGTGAATTCCCGGAAGAGAGAGAACTAGTTCAGAAACATTTATGTAGTAGAAAAGAACACTGAGTTTCCGAAGAGAATAGGTAAACCTGTTCAGATCAAGGTTCTGGATGTACAAAAGAAAACTTGAATCTATCCATGGGCCAGGCACATTGAGCAGGTTCTGAGCTAGGGAGTTTTTTGCTTTAAACATGTCTTTGAGAGTTAGTACTTTTTAAAAAAAATTTATTTAGTTATTTTTTAAGTACAGTTTTTTGTCTATTGAGAGTTAGTACTTTTGACCATGTTCTATACAATGGGTTCCTTGCGAGGGTGATGCTGTGATTAAAAGATTAGCTGGTGAAGGCTGACCATAGCAGAGTTGTTTTAAAGGCATTGTTAAAGGTCATTTGTACTGAAGAAATTTAGGCTTACTGTTATTCATTTTCCTTGGCATTATAAAGTTCTGTGGGGCAGTTTAGTTTAAAAAGGTCTTTGGAGGTGAAACATCAAAGTTCTATCCAAGTTGCTGTATTCTCCAGTTTATCAAACTCTTTATATTTTCCTCTCGCTACAGAAATTGCTGTAGTTGACTTACAGGTTAGCTAGCCCTCACTTTCTTAGAGGTTCTCAGAGGTTCTTCCATGCATAATTGAAAAGTAAGATATAAGGCTTCTATTTTGTCCCCTTACTGTAAGGGATAGTGGTGATCTTTGCTAAGGAGTATGTCCTAAGTATTACATTCGGAACAGAGAACTCGAAGTCGCCGTCTGGTGAGACAGGCGCTGCAGCAGCACGTCAGGAGTTGGAGAAAGGGAGGA